AACTTGCTAAATGAAAGACTATATAACTGGTAACTGAGGTAAACTGATAACCATAAGACATGATAACTGCTTTTGCACTTTCTAATAAGGTTATGCTCTAATCTGTACTACTATCCATTGCATCCCNCCCAGTTGCTTCTAAACCCTCAAAGAAAAGCAAAGTAACATCTCCCAAGACTGCTGCTACTTCTGTACCTAGGGGAAGAGCTACAAGGAGCAAAGTAAGGCAAAGTGAAGCAGAACTACAGGAAGCATTAGAGAAGAGTAAGAAAAAGAAGAAGGAAAAGGGAAAAGAAAAGGTAGTGGAAAGTTCTGAGGCTGCTGAAGAAGAGGAGGAGGAGATGGAACTGGTCCATCAAGAGAGAGATACAACTGTGGAGGTTCCCACTGACAAACCAAAAAGAACCAAGACTCCTGCAAAGAAGTCTTCAAAATCTGTACCTGCTGAACCTTCTTTGGCTAGAAGAACTAGGTCTGCAGTGAAGGGAAAACAAGTGAAAATTACTGAAGAAGAAGATGAAGAATGGAGTGGAGAAGAAGAAGAGGAGGAGTCTGAACAGGAGCAAGATCGTTTTGTTATTTTTAGCAGGAGGAAGATATTGAAGGGGAGGTTGCTGAAAGACCTGGAGGAGCCAGGTATGCTTAGGTTGTTGGATGTTTTAGCTGCACAGGGTTGGAAGGACATGGTCCTTCAGATGGATGGAAGACTAGCCAGAAGAGAGCTGATTGAATTCATGGCAAATGGCTCTGTGAAAAATGGGCTAGTGACAAGTGTGGTGAAAGGTGTGAAGGTGAAGTTTGATGCACCTGAATTGGGCAGGATTCTAGACATTCCAAGTGAGGGCTATGATGATTACACCAGGCAAAGGTGGCCTTGTCTAGATGATCTGCCCACAGCACTCCAAATCACCAGGAACTTCTGTGATACAAAGGATGCTAAAGAGGTGCCTGAGGCAAGATTTGTTCAAAAGAGTGAAATGAAGCCAGAGCATAAAGTGCTCTTTGAGTTTGTGAACAAGTGTCTGCTGCCTAGACAGGAGAGGAGGCACACTACAAATTACATGGACCTGGTTCTCATGGAGTGTCTTGTGAGGGGTAAGCAGATTAATTGGCCTGCTTTCATAGTCAAACTGCTAGACAGAGTCATCAATGGTTCAAAGGCTCATGCTACTCCTTATGGATTCATTCTGACAACTGTACTGGATAGGCTGAACGTTCCTTTGAAGAAATGGGAAATGGCCTCCAGTAAGGAGCACTTTGGAATCAAGACTCTCCAGGCCTGTGACTATCTACTAAGTGTAGCCCCTGTTGAACCTGGTTCATCAGTAAAGACTCCAGTGAATAGCATGGTTAGGGCTTTGGTTCTAGAATGTGAGACCAAAGATGCTGAGATTGCTAGGCTTCAGGCTCGTGTGGCTGAGTTGGAAGAAGAAAGGAATGGGCTGAAAGCAGAACTAGCAAAAGAAAAGGAAAAGAGTGAAGGGATGCTACAAACAATGCTCAACCTACTCCAATCCCAACCCTTTAGTTCTTCAAAGCCTTAGCCCTCTTTGTCCTAGTTCTGAACCAGTTCAGTTACCCCCCAGTGACCCAGATTAGGGATTTTTCTTGTTTTTGCTCATGGTTGGTTGTTTTTGTTCTTTCTTTTTGTGGACTGTCTTATAGAAGCACTGCCTTATCAATGACAATTTGCATTTCTCTTATTTTATGATGATTCTACTCTTAATAGTTATTTTTGTCAAGTTCATTTTTCATTAACTAAAGCATGCTTTCACTTGCAGTTGCCCAGTGGCCATGAGTAATGATTAATATTCTAGGATTCACATGTTTATGCAACTTTTCGATGATGCCAAAAGGGGGAAGATATTGTGCATTGTGCTTAAAAACTATTTTTCTGAACAGTGATGTTTATGACCTAATTAAATCTGGCCCTTAATGATAAGTTAAAGTTTTCAAGTGATGATATTTTAGCTGAGTTCCACAAGTTCTCTGATCAGTAAAAGCACAGAGTTTGTCATCATCAAAAAGGGAGAATTTGTTGGCTCAAGATCATTTGAAGTTTTGAAGAATGACAAATGAACTCAGTGCAGGACCAGGTCCATCTTAGGAGACACAGTTGTTATGGCCCATGCACATGAGATGCACGTGAAGAAGATAAGTCCTTGGGGATCAAACAGCAATATCTTCTGAACTGATCGAAAAGATTGCATATGGGATAAGGAGAAGATGTCTCCTTATGAGAAGAGAACACATCCGGATAAGGGTTGGAGTTTGGATTGGTCTAGGACTCAAACTCAATGGAGGATCAGAAATTGAGTCACAATCCAACTCTAATTACTAATCTAATAAATAACTGAGTTGTTCTCTTTACAGGTATGCACATACGCTGAAGTTAAGCAAAATTGAGAGCAAAAGAGCAAGGCTATTTTGCAAGCAATTTATGTGAGAATGAGTGTGCACGCCCGCAGCTACTTGAACAAGATAGAAGAACCAGTTCCATTGTGTTTATTCTTATTCTAGTTCAGTTGTAGTAGGTGATTTAAAACTTGTACCTTTCCAGCTTTCATAGAAGCAATTGTATTAGGTACTTTGAGTATTCAAGTTAGAGTTAACTTGAAAGTGTTGCAACAGTTGAGGCTGTGTGCCACACAGGGACTAGAGTTAATCCTTAGGCTTACAAGAGTTTTGTAAATGCTGTTTTTCGCTCATTGAGTTTAGTGGATGTTTGGAAAAATCCTACTGAGTAGTAGGTCGTGGTTTTTTTTCACCTTTTGAGCCAGGTGTTTTCCACGTAAAATCCTTGTGTTCTTTTATTTCTGTATTTTAATTCCGCAAACAGTAGTAGTTAGAACACCTAGAAGAACCAGGTTCTTCTAGATCGAAAATTGGGTACCACACAAATCACCCCCCCTCTTGTGTGGTATTGACGTTTGGAACATCAGTCTACCTCAGGTAATGTGTTTACTCTTGGAGGTGGAGCCATAAGTTGGAGGAGTATCAAGCAAACTTGTGTTGCTGATTCCACCATGGAAGCAGAATATGTGGCAGCTTCTGAGGCAGCCAAAGAGGCAGTTTGGCTCGGTAACTTCCTGGGAGAGTTGGGCGTGGTTCTCTCGATTCAAGCACCAATTACACTTTATTGTGATAATAGTGGTGCGGTTGCAAATTCAAAGGAGCCACGAAGCCATAAAAGGGCAAAACACATTGAGCGTAAATATCATTTAATTCGTGATATAGTGCAGAGAGGGGATGTAGTGGTCACCAAGATTGCGTCAGAGAACAACTTGGCGGATCCGTTTACTAAGAGCTTACCACATAAGACTTTTGATAAGCATGTAGAAGGAATGGGTGTCAAAATTGTAGACGCATGGTTATTAGTCTAAGTGGGAGATTGTTAGAATATACTATAAGCCATACGCGTCCTGCCGCGGTCCTACCGCGGTTACGCCAGGACCGCGGCCAAAGTGGCCTTCAGACTCTGCAGTAGTGTTCTGCCGCGGTCCTACCGCGGTTACGCCAGGACCGCGGCCAGAGTGGCCTTCAGAATCTGCAGCAGTGTTCTGAAGGCCAATTATTTATTTACTTGTTTAAATTCCATAAAGTTTCCTTTTAAATAGATCATGTATTGGTTTGTGTGTCCATTGCTTACATAGTAGATGATTTAGTGTATAGAGTTTAGCTTATACACGGAAGATTAAATCATCGGTTCTTGTAAGACATAAAAGTTAATGTTCACAATCTAATGATGGAATTGGACAAATCATCGGAATGGTTGTAGTACAAGATTAAATGTAATTTATCTTGATTATGGGAATAGGTCTAATTCCAACTTCTTGTGCTAATACATTTTGTATGTATTCAACGGATCAAGTAGAGATAAGTATATTATACTGACTTTATAAAATAATTTCTCTAGTCCATTTAATGTACTTATACTCTTAATCCTGATATAATTATTATTAGTTGTGTATGTCACTTGTTGTTTTGATTTATTAAAAGGCGAGATTCTTTCGTGAGTCAATAAGCCTGGTAAATTGGATAACAATGATATACATTGGCGAAGTAATAATTAGTTGATGGAATCCATGTCTCGGTTTTGAGATTGATGATACTCCTTTATGAAAGCTTATAAGTTTTCATGTGTAAACCCGGCCGGTGGATTTTGTATCCGACACATGAAATAAGTTAAGTGTAAGTCTAAAGGAAGTAATCAATAAATTAAATAGTCAGTAATTTAATTTGATTGATTAGTATCTGAATGTTAACATGGGGAGTTAAATAAGGTTTTATGGAAGAATTTCGAAATTGAACTAAGGAGTGCAATTACGAATTTTTAGTGGAATAATTCGTAATTTATTATGGTAGAAATTAATTTCAAATTTCGAAATTAATTCCATAATAGGAAGCCTTGTTAATTAAATTCTGTGGTCCCTACTGTGCCTGAATAATAGGAAATAAAGGAAACATTTCCTTGGTGGAAGAAGAAAACCTAACAGGTTTTGGAAAAGTGTTTTGACCTAAAAAACGCAGCTATATATATATGGTATATAGCTGGTCGTTTTTGACACAGAAAAAACACACGTTTTTCTTCCTTGAATTTCGCCCACCCGAAGTTCTCTGTTTTCCGGTTTTTATTTGGGTAACACAGTAGAAGACTGTGGAAGGTTGCTGAGGTCTTGCAATTCTGGAACTGGAGAAGGATATCGATTTGCTTTGTTCACGCTTCAAGAGGTAACTCGTATAATCTCCTTATGTGTTAATTGTTTAGATTGCACGTGATTATAATGCTATGTTTGCTTCCGCTGTGAATTATGATCCAACACCATCATACCGAACAAACCTTATATGGATTTTCACTAGCCATGATTTCCAGAAATTTATGTAGAAAATGAACAACATAATCTAATGTATAAGGAATTATTTTGGTCTTTTATATATGTCACTTAACAGATATATCGTTCCTTAGACCTTAATGTATGCAAAAACCGGACCCTTTTGATCCTTAAGCCGTTACATACTTTGCCGTCGAAGAACTGTTTAAATTTTATCAAAAAGTGCATAAAAAATAACGTGCGTATAAATCACAAATACAGAGAATCTCCCGCCCCTTCACATAAGTACTGAAAATTACCTGCCAAAAGAAAAAAGTAGTACTCAATATTTTTGCGAATTCTCTCCCTTTTGCGATTTCCTCTTTTCTATAATTTCTCCGGCGAACCATCAGTGCTTTCTCCGGCGAAATCAAGTTGTGAGTTTCCTTTCATTCTCTGCGATTCTCATGTGGCATAAACCTTAAACCCTAAACCCTTTTCCTTTTGATCCTCTGTATAATGCAAGTCTAAGCTTATTTTTCATACTTCATGATTTCTACTAGTTAATTTGCATTCTTACATATATCGGCTTCGAAGTTTGGTGTTTTTAATCTGTTTCTTTTCTTCGTTTTTTAAATCTATTTTTGTTGAATGTATTCATGGAAAAAAGGAAAAGAAAGGAATTAGCTTTTTGAAAATGATAGTAGAGTTCTCACCTCCTGTTAATGGACCAGTTTTGTTTATCATTTCTGAACTTATTTGGTACTCATCATGTAGTACGATTTTTTTGGATTTAAAATGGTGGAAGGCTAAATTATTCACTTGTAAAAGTTGCAGCATAAGAACTTTTACATACAAGCTGAAAATGGTAAAGTAATTATTTTCATAGGAAAAGTAAAAAAGATAAATGTTTTGCTTTTTACTGACAAACTACATGAAATAAAATGAGCCGCATAAGTTGATTCAAAGCGGAAGAGGCTACACATTTTTTTCTGCTAAAGGCTTCTGATTATATCATTCTCTAATGCAGTTTGAAGAGAGCTTATTTAAGTTGTCATGTCGCAAGAGGAAATTCTCGTTGTTCTGTGATGACTATTGTTCTAGTAACTTGGTAAAGCCACTTTCGAAAATGATATAATTGTCCTCTCCAGTTGCAGTCTTGTTAAATATTTTTCTGTAAATCGGGGCATTTCCTTTTCCCTGCAGTATTCTCCTTCTTGGTCTTTGATTTAAAGCTCTCGTTTAGGTTTAAAGGAGTGATAAACTACAGTGCAAAAAGAATATTTTTCCTGTCTGAGTTTACTCCTTGAAAGGTTATATGATGCAGTCCAAAATAGGCAATTATCAATTAGCCAATTATGAGAAGAAAATAATAATAGAATATAAGAAAATCTGGACTCAAAATTCAAGTGAAAACGTGGACGTACTGATCCAAAAAAAAAAATGAAAAAAGAGTGAAAACATGGATGCATGAGGCGTTACAACAGCGACAAAAGAAAGAAAAAACCAGGATACTTGCTGCATGAGATCAGCGATGTGAAGGAAGTGATCCTATTATTTAGATTTTTGGTCCAAGGTTGCTTATATCTGCAATTTTCCAGTCTATACTGTTGGGTGCGAGGAGACCACTAAAGCAGTAATTTTGGCCATCCCTGTAGAGTTAAAACTAAAGATCCATATTGCTGCTTTCATGTAGTTTTTATGCTGTTCTTGATTTTGAATTGACCTGTTCCTGGAATCATGAGCTGCCACTGCTTCATACTACTTCTTTTATAGTACTGATTCACTTTTCTTAAGTAGGCTGGTATCCTTGGAACAGTATGAGATTCTGGTTGGCGAGAAACTTCTAGCACTCTTCCGTACCATGAAGTTTGTAAGTCTCTTCCATTCTCTGCATATTTGCTTGCGTGCATATTTTTGGAGTACATAGTGACATCATGTATTCATGGATTCCAACATCTGCAGACATGTTTAAGTGAGGGCAGGGGCTATTATTTCCCACCATGCCACATAGTCAATATAAGTGGCTTCCGGGTGTTATTTGACTGCCCTTTGGACCTTTCAGCACTCACGGTCTTCTCTCCCCTACCAATTGTTACATCTTCTCTGCTTGATGAAAAAACATCAAATGTTAGTGGCCAAAGTTCATCAAATTCAGAGTCTGTAAGACGGGAAGTTGGGGAGTCTCTTGATTCCAAAAGTTTGATACAGGCTGAGCCTTGGTACAAAACTGTGAAAAGCTTGCAGCTTTGGAGTATTTATTCCATAGATGTGGTACTAATCTCAAGTCCGATGGGTATGCTAGGGTTACCATTTCTTACCCGCCTCAAAGATTTTAGATCGAAGGTGATGGAAAGGGTATTTTCTTGCATTTATAATTAGAATTAACCTTATGCTGGTGAATTTCTTATAATGTGGTTATCTCATCAGGTATATGTAACGGAAGCAGCTTCCAGACTGGGGAAACTGATGATGGAGGACCTTGTTTCCATGCATATGGAGTTGAGACAATTTTATGGACCTGAAGAGTCTGGTTGCCCTCAATGGATGACATGGGAAAAGCTTGAACTACTTCCTATGGCACTAAAGGATATTGTTTTAGGCAGTGAAGGGACAGAACTTGGTGGATGGATGCCCATATACAGGTAACACTTCTTATTTCATTTGATAGAAAGATCTGTTTTTGTCATATTTCTTGTGGTTTGCTTTCATCAATTAGTGCGTTTACTTACTAGATATTACTCTTCTACTTATGCCTAAATTTTTAGATGCTTGTTATGCTTTTTTTTAGGATGGACTTAGATGTAAATGTTCTGCTTGATACAGAAACAGAGAAATAAAGTACCGTAAGAATTTGAGAACACATGATTGCAGGTGTCTCAGAGTTTTTTTACCAATATAAGCATATGCTACTTTCATTCAATATTAAATTTACTGGTTTAAGTCGGTCAATAGTCTGTTATGATTTCTATGAAGTTGTGAGGAGTTGTGCTTTTGCAAATGAGATAGCTGCTCGACGGAGGGGACATTACACTGAGACATGAAAATAGTGAGACTTTCAATTTCGGATGGGAGTGGAAGTATATAGGAGTCGGTTCCTTTTCAGTACCAATATATAATTACACGTGGACGCATTTTTTTTTTCAGTTACAAACTTACTGACATGGAAATGGAAAGTTAGAAGTTTTTTTTACAGAAGTTGACTATTCATCCAAGTCTTAAAGAAAAGGACCCTGGTTCACATAGCCAGTAGTCGAAAAATGAAAAATGAAGCAGAGACTTCGAAGCTCTGTGTTTGTTATGGGCTGATCTTTATATGATCTGCAAAGTGATGGGAAATTTTTTCAGTGCAGCTGATATCAAGGGTTGCATGGAGAAGGTTCAATCTCTTAAGTATGCTGAAGAAGCCTGCTATAATGGCGCATTGACCATAAAAGCGTTCAGCTCTGGTTTGGAGATAGGTGCTTGTAATTGGAATATCCTAAGTCCAAAAGGAAGCATCACATATCTTTCTGGCTCAGTTTTTGCATCAACAACTGCATCCAGTTTTGATTACAAAGCTCTTGAAGGAAGTGATGTTTTATTATACTCAGACTTCACAGCCTGCAATGATGTTGATAGTGAAAAGAATGAGTTCCCTCCTGATACTGCCAGTTCCTATCCAAGGTATATTCCTTTTGTATTATTCTTGAATATTATACATATAACTGAAGCTGTCCGGCATGCATAGGTGAGATTAAATTTTATGGCTATGCGTTCTTTTCCTTTTTAAGGTTATCTTCTCTTGTTCTCCATCCATCTTCTGATACATCCTCTATTTATCTTCCTCCGTATCATTTACATATTTTCTGGAAGGGGAAGTAATGAGCTTTGAAACTTGGAATATGTGCAGTGATACTGGTAGTTGTTGGGAAACAATAACTGAGTCCTGGCTTGATTCAGATGAGTACTCAGAAGAGATGGAAAAAGTATCTTTTATATGTCAATGTGCTTTGGACTCTATTAATGACGGAGGATCAGTCCTTATTCCCATTGGACGGCCTGGAATCATGTTGAAGCTATTGGAACATGTATCACTTTCGCTAGAATCTTCAAATTTGAAGGTATGGTGTAAAAATTGCACATGTATTCAAGACGTTACCTGGATATGATCACCTAAAATGACAAAAATACTCTTAAAGAAAGGCGACTTGCTTTAGTATATGAAAATAAAATATTTTATTAAAATATTAAATCTTGAGGGTATTATATATTAAAGATTTATTTAATTTTGAGTTCACATTTTTTGTGTTGTATTATGATTCATCTCATAGCAATCTGTGTATTATGATCCTAGGTAAGTAAACATCCTATGGAAAGATTTTCAGCACGTTTATTCTTTCCGATGACTGTTTACACAATAGGCTGTTCAGACAATTATTTGCTACTCCAGTAATTCTTTTTACATGTTCTTGTTTCGAAATATACAAACTTCAGTAGTTTTTCTATTTTGAATTGGGAGCGTGTTGAAGAGAATCATTAAGAATAGTATAGAATATTCTTAATAATTATGTTAGTCAAGTGTACGCTATCTTAATCATTATTTCATAATTAAGAATCTCAAGAGTTAGGAAACAATCAAAGAAAGAATCTCAAGAGTTAGGAAACTTGCCTTTATTTCTTGTAGCTCAAAACTCCTATATAATGAGTACTTATAATGTTAGCCAAATACTTCAAAGTTCAAACAACGATTTTCTCTCTTCTCTTCATCTTCATCTTCATAATTTATTAGAATTTGAGTCTTCATTTACTCGGAAAATTCAAGGATTTCCAGGAATTTACTGAAACATGAGTATACTTCTTTTTCGATTGCTATGGAACTTGAGTATACTTTCAGTGACGAGAGATCAATTGCATACCCCCCCCCCCCCCCAAACCAAACCCAAATCCCTTCCAATGCTGTTTGTTGGTATTGCTGTTGGAGATATAAATTCATAGTTATACTAATTGTAATCCTGATGGTAGGAAGGAATGAACACCGAGAGATTCTTGTTTCCCAGATATTATACACAATTGTGGACTATCGCCATCTGTTATTAATGTTGTATTTTGGATCCGTCTCTGATTGACAAGAATCTTCCAATTCTCAAGTTTTGCTTCCTTTCATATCTAATTTTAGTACACGTAGTTGCGGATACCTAAATTTGCTTCATAAATATGTTTATTATGTATTTAAACTGGGTGTTTTTGTGTTGTGTAGGTTCCTATATATTTTGTTTCTTCTGCGGCAGAAGAGTTATTGGCATTTTCCAATATCATACCTGAATGGCTGTCCAGTCAACGTCAAGAAAGAGTACTACATTAACTGATCATCACTTTGAATCTTGTGGATTTAATCCTTTTGCTGTTAAAACAGAAAGCTGATCAAGTAGATATAATGCGTTTCATTTTGTTTTATGTGTGGATCCACAGCTCTATTCTGGACAACCTCTATTCACTCATATTCAGCTGTCAAAGGAGAAAAAGCTCTTGGTATCTCCTGCAATTCATTCATCAAAATTCCTGTAAGATATATTCTGTCTCCTCATGTCGAAATATAAGCTACAAAAAATGAGCATAGTAACCTGCTTAATAACCTTACCGTAGACGCTATTTTGGCTTTGTTACACTCTTTCTATCCTTTTACATCTTTTGACTTCACTGTTGTCTTTGGTTATGCAAAAAAAAAAGAAAAGAATTGTTATTGGAGATGCTGTTACCATCAACATCATTGGCCTAGTCTAATATTATATGCTCAGAACAAGTTGGCAGGAACCTTGCATAGCATTTTGTCCTCACTGGAGTTTGCGACTTGGCCCTGTTGTTCATCTCCTTCAACGTTGGTGTGCCGATCCTAACTCATTGCTTATTATGGAGGTGCATGCCTGCTATATGACTTTTCACATTCACATATCTCATGTATCTGGTTGTATGACTAATGTCAAGCTTGACTATATTATTGAGGTCAATGTTTCATATTTCACAGGAAGGAGCTGATATCAATTTGGCTTTTTTGCCTTTCAAGCCAATGTCAATGAAGGTCCTTCAATGTTCATTCATCTCTGGAATAAAGTAAGCAAACTCTTTTTGATCCTCTATCTCATGTGAAGCAGACAGCGCCTGTCTGGCTTTTAGCTCCTTATCCTTGTGGTGCTCTATAGGCTTCCTGTTGGAGTTTGCTAAATTTGCAAGAACTGGGATTAAGAGGTGTCTTAGGAAAAAAGAAAAATACAAGATGCTTCTTGGAAAGGGTCCTCAATGTTTGATCTAAAGTCACGTGGTTGCTTACCATATGATTGATTATCTTTTCTAGGTAGTTTATAGGCGTGTTTTGAGAATTAGAGAAGAACCCATTAGATGCTCAAGGCTGTGCTCTTGGATAGTTTACAAACCATGCCTCCTTTAAGAGTTTTGTTTTTGATAAGGTAAAGTGTTCTGTTGATAAAGCAGTAAGGGGACAGCAAAAGGTTACGAAGTTCAAGATTACATCATCTGCTACATAAAAACAGAATCAAGCGGTTCCATAAAATCAGACATACTACTCACAGTATTTTCTCTCTGCCTGCAAAACAAATTTGGCAAACATCTGAATAGTACAGAGGCAATCATCTCCTTTCTTCTCTCATGTCACACTGTCCATATGATACATAAAGGAATTGATCTCCAGATCTTCTTCAGTCTTCTTTCCATTCTTTGACCTTGCCAGCAGTATAGTAAATCTCTGAAGCTTTCTGAATCACCTAATGAACATCAAAGATGTTTAGGAATAGGGAAAATATCCTCCATGTTTGTTTACAATGCAGCAGCAAATTATTTAACAGCATAAACACCTGTTACAGAGGCTAAGACTTCTTTTCTGTAAGTTATCTTGAGTCAGGCAAGCACCATATGTAGCAAACCACCCAAAACATGCTACCTTTAGTTGGAGCTTTAGTTTTCCACAACATATTCCGAGGAAGATTACTAAGCATTTTGAGACTGTTCTTGTAACAGTTCATCACTAGATTTCACGGTGAAGACTCCTCATTTTCTTAGTCTTAATTATTAAGTTCACACAAGAGACATTATTTTCTATTTCTATTTCAATTACTACAAATTCATAGCTCTTTAATTACCATTCTGGCTTCTAGTCATTACAAATACAAACTTCATTTTCTATTTTGCAGGCTAAAGAGAGCTATACCTTTACTAAAGATACTACAACCTAAACATGTGGTGGTAGCCCCTCTCTCTCTCTCTCTCTCTCTCC